AATCAGTCCCAATGAATGCGGCAGAGAATTCCTGCTCTGAGGTAGGAACCAAAAGGCGCCCATTGGATTTAGAGTATGGCAAAGGGATGGGACAAATGGGATAAAAGTGAAGATGGAAGGTGGATTTAGGTGGTGCCAGACAAGAATGAGAAGGAGTGTGTGGTAGACACAGAGGTGCGTCACCTACATTCTTTTTCAAGAAAGGACTTGTTCCTCCAAGGGAGTGTGGTGTGCAGACAATCACCAGCTGTCATCTCCTTCAGGGTCTTCCCTTTCTCTGGACAGCCCCATGTAGTGACTGAGCAGGGCCTGGGCACAAAGGTCCGCTGTTTCAGCCCAATTTGGTTTGCTCTGAAAGGTGACTCTTGCTCCAAGCTCTCCAGGGACTTATCTGAGGCTTGGCTGGTGGCAGCTCAGGTTAACTCCTCTCTCTGCCCTTATTTTCACAGGTGTTGATATCTAATCAATGTCTTGCATCACAAACTGTCTTGGCATCTGCTTTCAGAGGACCCATTCTCTGACGGAGAGTGGTAGAAACAAGTCTTTTGAAGAGTTTATTGAGAAAAGAAAAAGAAGAAAGCAAAAGCAAAAATGAGTTTCTTGTTTTTCTTTTTAAGAGTAGAAAGGCAAGAAAGGGGCCAGTGGAGAGGGGGTGCTTGAAGATACTAGAGAGGGATGATTAATAGAATGAAGTCTGAGGACAAGAAAGAGGATGGACTTTAAGGCCAGGAAGGGTGATTGGCCTGGAGTAAGAGACGCATATTGGCCATTCTCTGAGATTGAGGCTGAGGACATATTGATGGGGTTAATCTATATTGTTTTGAGAGAGTGGTCAAGGAAGTGAGGAACTCTGCCCAATGATTTCAATCCAGTCATGGGTGTGATCAGGGAAGAAGTCAAGGAAGTGAGGAACTCTCCCAATCAGATTTCAATTGGGAGATGGCCAATTACTGGAGAGATGAATGGAGGAATCCTTGAGGTTAAGGTGGGTGAGATGCCTTGCTCCACAGTGAGAGAAGCCTGGGGGGAAGCAGGACAAGTTTTAGCACAGCTGCAAACAGAAGAGAAACTTTGGGAAAAACCTGTTAAATAAGAGAATGGGATCTGGGACAGAGAGCAGGAAGACCCACCTCATCCTATTAGAATCTGCTGAGTCTGTCCAGGTGGATTTTGGGTATCGATCCTGGAATCCAATGGATTTTCTATGTCTTCACCCTCTGTGTCATCCACGTATTTGCTAAACATGCATCTAATATAACACACAAGACATGATACAAATATTGATAGAGCAAGATTGTGGTGAGAACCTTCTGGGATACCATCATTTAATCAGCTCCTATTTCTCCTAACTGTGCAATTACCAATTTGGTATTTTTTCATTTGTTCTGGAAGGATCTAATTTAAGATGTCATGAAATTCTGTAATCAGATGCACACCCTTGGTCTACTATATTGCCTCTTTCTAACAATTTATAGTCCTGACAAGGGAACACAAAGTGGAGACAGTCTGGCATGACCTGCCCATGGGCCCCTGGTAGCCACATTTACTTCTCCTAGGGGCTCGCAAAACACCTTTTTGTATCTCATTTGAGGATTTTTGCACAAGGTCATTATCAAGGTCACTGATTTGTAGTTTCTAACGTTCATTTGTTTCTCATCTTTGGAAGTTAGAGTTACACTAACCCTAGCCTTCTAACATCTCTCTGTTTCTTCAAGATTCCTTGAAGTTTGTTGGCAGTGATTTGATGATGGTCTTAGTTAATTTTTCTTTTTATATTTTGTACTTTGGCCTACAATTCATTCAGACCAGGAGGAGTGAACACATTTAGAACAACTACACTTTCTCTTACATTATTATTTGTTTTTTGAAATTTTTCCAGCACAATTTTTATTTTCTCTTACATTCTTTTTCAGGTTCCTGCTTACCAATAGTCGGTCACCCTTTTCCATTCAAATGTCATGCTTATGGAGAAGCTGCAAACACTAAAAGGATTTTGCTCTCTCTCTCTGTCATCTGGAAACATTATACAGTTGGCCATGAGCAAGGGACCCACCCCTAACTTGTCTTTTCTTCTTTTGTCATAACCAGTGTCCCCTCATACCAAGACCAAACTTCCTTATCTTTCCCTCTAGGAATCCAGACACCATCAAATTCAATACCTCAGTACTCCCTGTGTAATGAGTGATATATTCAAATGAACAAATGAGGAGATAGTACAAGGGTAAAGGGGCTAACTCTAGAAAGGGTACGTTCACATTTTCTGCAATTGCAAAGGCCTTTCTCATGCTGACAGTGTAATTGTACGGTTCTAATTTATTTGGCCACCAGATGGCATAACTGAGAGTGTGTTTTTGTTTTTGTTTTAAAGGAAAGTTGCCATCGTAAAAAACCCAACAAAACAGCATTAGATAATTAATGCTGAAAATGCCCATGGGAAAGCACATTGCAGGTGTCCGTTTTAAGTGACAGTTAATATTTTGATACGGTTTTCTCACCGTTAAGGTATAGACAAATCCCTTTCTAAACCTTAAAATTCCAAAGATAGGCCTCCCGACCCTATTTAGTCCTGGATTTTTCTTCCCCGCCTCTGTATAGAAAGCCATGTGGGAGTAAGAATTGGAAGTGGGCTTGTCTTTCGCCTGCATTGAACACGTTCTTCCCTTTGCCATAAACCCCACACTATTGAGCCATTGCATCTCAGAGTGGATGGAGAGGTTGTTGAGGAATTATTGCTAATATTAACATTATTGGACCAAAATATGTATTCCAGCTTGTGAAGAGAAGTGCTGACTCCTGTGGAAGCGTGAGGATAAATAGAATCAATCCCTGAGTATTAGCCTTTATCTCTTTAGGTTACATTTGGATATTGATTTGGAGCTTCTGTGCTCTGAGTCTGAGGTAAGGAGGCCTGAGAGTTTGCGGTGGGTCTTTGAAGCTGAGGAGATGGCAGTAGGAGGCATGAGAGTGGGTATGGTAAGAAGGGAACTGAGAAAAGTAACATTTACTGCTTGTTTTGTGTTTCTTCTATACATTTTTGACCCTAGGGAATTTTAAAGGACTTTTTCTAATATTTTTAAATGGATGGATTCATTCATTCAATAAATATCCCAGGCACTGTGTATGGGAATAAATAGTGAATAAGGCAGAGTTTAAACCTTCAAGGAGCTTTCTAATTTTGTTTTTCAGCCCCAGGGGAACAAGATGAAAATCCTAGGATAGGTCTTTGCCTGAGGCCCCAGGGAACATCCAATGTCCAGATGTGTGGATGGGAACATGCTCCCAGTGAAAGCAGAAGTTCCTTAAAACTGTTGATTGTGAGGAATAAATAAAAATGGCAAAACTTTGTCATAACATCCTGGCTAATTCTGTATACAAAGGAAAACATTGGGGTTTTGCTGAAGAAAGGAGAAAGCATCATAATGGGAACCACGCTGCAAAAATTTAATTGTTCCCTGGTGATTGCCAGGATTGAAGATCTGATAAAACGACTGGTGCAGAAGGCAGAGCAAACACACCGTGTGGCAAGTCAGAAATTTCAACCACAGTGGAAATGCATACCGGAAGGCAGTGTGAGGGTGGATTGGAGAAGATCAAGATTGGAGTCAGGAAAAATAGTTGGGAGCCTATTGAAACTTTCAGTGAGAGGTGATGAATGTTTGAGTTAAGACAATGAGCACAGGTGGGAGACAGACTTCAGGGTAGGAAGAACTGATGTAAAGGAGAGGGAGAAAGAATGATTCTGGAGAGAGAACACCAGTTCCAGTGGCCTGACCCTGAGGCCTGTGCTCTTTCCTCACAGAATAAGGACTTTGTCACAGAATAAGGACTCCACTATAGACCAACTCTTCCATTTTATAGCAAAATTAAAACTCAGGATATGGAAACCTTCCACTATGGCCAAATGGAAACCCTCCACTTGTGGAAGAAGAAACCAAGGCTCCCTACCCTGATCCCACCTTCTTCCACAGGTGCACCTTGGAACTACCAGGGAGCCTTTCCAAATAGCAGGCGACTGGGCCACAGCCCAGACCCAATGCACCAGAATCCCTGGGCCAGGAACACTGGCTCATTCTAGGACAGTGTATCAGCTCCTCTTCCTTCCATGACCTTCCATAGCACATTCTGCCTAGACCACACTTTCTTTTTCTCTGTTT